TCCTTCCTTCCTTCCTTCCTTCCTTCCTTCCTTCCTTCCTTCCTTCCTTCCTTCCTCCTTCTCCTCATACACAGTTCTCTGTGTAGCTCTGGGTCTGCCTGCCTCTGCCTCTGGCGTACTGGGAATAAAGCCGTGTGCCACCACCTCCCAGCTTGATGACTAGGTTTCTATCACTAAGGAAAGCTCATTGAGTAAACACCACTAACATTTTTTATAAATGTGCTAGAACAAAACACTTGTCTTAGGGCTGGTAAGCTGGCCCAGCAGATAAAACTGCCTGACCCTGAGTCTAACGACCTGAGTTCCATCCCTAGGAACCTCACAGTGGAAGGAGACAACTGACCACCGAAGTTGTCCTATGACCTCCGCATGTACACCTGGCACATGTGCCCCAATAAATAAATGAATGTTGGTGTTAGAAATAATGTTAATTTGTCTTATTTTCATAGTTCTGTTTTCTACTTTGTTTTGGTTCTTCTGTTCTGCCACTTACATTGATTCTGGCACTTGGAGCACTGTGTGTCACTTACCAGTATCTTCCCTCTTATCCAAGCTATGTGAGTCCTGTCGCGCAGACTATACTCATTCATTTTGGATCATTTTGCTCCTTCTAGGGGTCTGTCTAAGGGAAGGAAGGGAAACAGGGAGGATGGGGAGGATGGAGGTGCAGAGGACACAGAAGGCAGTGGGGAAGAGGAAGGAATGAGAACAAAGCTGTAACTTCAAGTATGTATAAAAGTGCCATAATGAGAGGTTCGTAAGAGTGATGACTGGGTGTTCGTGCCACTGTGTGACATGTGATGCCAAGAAACCTCATTATGATGTTGGCAGATGACCATCTGACATGAACTTGGAAAAAAAGAAAAAAGAAGGCCATATTGAAATTCTTTACTCTGAAGAAAAAAAAAATTTCATTTTCCTAAAAGCCTCAGTTTTATCCCAAGTGCTCCTTCCCCCAACTTCATGAATGAAAGAATGAAATGGACTTTAATTTTTGGCTAGAGCCTGTTTTTCTTTTAAGGTGTTTGGTATTTTTATTTTATTTTATTTTATTTTATTTTATTTTATTTTATTTTATTTTATTTTATTTTATTTTATTTTATTTTGAGACAGGTCTCACTATGTAGCTCTGGCTGGCTTGGAATTCACTATGTAGGCCAAACCTTGAGCTCACAGAGATCCACCTTACTCTTCTTCCAGAGTACTAGGATTAAAAGCACGGGCCACTATGTCTGACTTATATTTTTATTAATTTTAAATTATGTATATGTGTGTCTGTGTATGAATATGTGCACGTGAGTGAAGGCTCCTGTGGAGACCAGGACAGAGTATTGTACCCCAGTGCTGGAGTGACAAGTGGTTGTGAGCCATTGGACATCCGTGCTGAGAACACAACGTGGCTCCTTTGCTCAGCACCCACTCTTAGCTGCTCAGTCTTCTCTGTAGCCCCAAGGAATCTATTTTTCTAATCTAAGCCTTCCTCTCCAAATCCCTTGATCCTAAACACTGGAGACTAGTTGTCCTTAAATGATCTGAAAGTTTTCATTAAATGATCCTTTAAGGAAAACCATGCTGAGTTTAAAATAACATTTACTTTATGGCTTGCCCAGCATGTTTGAGGCCCTTGTTTCGTATTTCAAACTAGAAAATAAAATAAAAATCTAATGAAAATAAATAAAACTAACATATGGTTATATGGTTTCCTTTTTTTCCTTTAACTGCACTTTCCCCTTTACTATGTTTGTGTGAAAAAATATAACCATTTGTTGTTGGGGTTTTTTGTTTTGTTTTGTTTTTGGTTAAGAAAACAAAGCAAAACAGGTGTTGGGAATAAAAACAGTTGCACCCTACTTTAATTCCAAATAGAAGAGAAAGGGAAAATTTTCCTTGTGATATAAGTTGCTTCCCTGAACTTTTCAAAACTTTAAATTTCCATTGTTTTACCACTTTATTTTCTTTCAACGTTTCTTTCAGTTTTACTTTAATATCTGTAATCATTAAGGTACCAGATTATTGACACAGTGTATTCCATGAAGGAAAATACATAGCCTCAAGGAACAAGGTACTTCCCTTGGACATCTTGTCTAGCCCTGGGTTCTAGCAAACACTGGCTCTGTGGGAGGTTTTTCTGAAACAAAGCCAGATGGCAGTCCTGAAGCCCTGAGAGGAAAGGGCTCCCTCCTTTCTTGTCAGACACTTTTGTATCCTGTCCCTCCAAGAGGAGGAGAAAAGCAAGTGTGTGTGTGTGTGTGTGTGTGTGTGTGTGTGTGTGTGTTCAAGTTCACTTTTATCAGCATATTTTTTTAACTTTTAGATTCTAACTAGCTGGATTTAAGAAGAGTTGGAGTTCAATTGATGAACTTCCTTTCAGCAAAACCAGTCTTTATACAGCAGTCCCTAAGACAATAAATGAAGCTAGAAGGCCAGGCCTGGGGGCACAAGCCCTTAATTCCATTACTATTGAGGCAAGTGGCTCTAAGTTAGAGGCCAGTCAAATGGACAAAGGGAGTTCCAGGCCATCCAGGGCTACACAGTGAGACTCTCTAATGACCTGAGTGAGAGCTGTAGAATCCACTGGGAAAGAGGAAAAAGACCCCTGAAACTTGTTCTCTGACCTCCACATGTGCAGCGTGCTCTGCTGGTGGATCATCGGTCAGTTAGAACACTCCCTGTTTTTTAGCAGACGAAAATTTGGATTCTGACACTCACATTGGACAGCCACCATGTTGGTGTGGAAAACTTGTGTTTTGTGTTTTTCACTGTTCATCAAAGGAGTTTTCTCACACTTAAAAGAACAAAATAGTATAATGAAGCCTGTGTCTCTTCACCTTATTTAGAACGTGAAATGGATATTTGTATATGAATAATAAAATAACTTCGACACTGCCATATAAAAAAAAGAAAAGAATTTTATTGGCTTGTTGTAGAAAAGAATAGGTATATCCTATTTACAGAGTGGATCATTTAAAGATGTTACAAGTGCAGGTTAGAAGAAAGTTGAACCTTGAAGACAGCTTTCCCTTTACGAAGCGAATGCATTTCTGTGTCTGAGAGCAGTAAAAGGAGTTGTTTGAATTTTTGAGAGTTTATTTTGTACCTGGCAGTGATGGGTATTCTTAACTCCATCTTGTCAACTACATTGGGAATTAACAAAATACCCCCAAATGGAGGGCACACCTGTGAGAGATTTTTGCTTAATTTGAAGTGGGAAGATACACTTCTAATCTGGATCTTTGACGTAGGAAGACATACCTTTAATCCAGATCTTCTGAGCTGGGAAAACCCACCTCTAATCAGGAAGCCTATATAAGGACATGGAAGAAGGAATTTTTTTTCTCTTTGCTTGTTCTCACCTCAACACCAAGTCCTTTCCTTCACTGGAATCAGAGCCCACTTCTTCAGAATTCCAGAGTCCACTGAAGACCACCTGAGACAGCCAGCTTCATATGCTCAACAAACTACTGGATTCTTGGACCTTCCTTTGATAGGCAGCCATTGTTGGGTTAGCTGGACAACATCTGTAAGTCATCCTAATAATTTCCTTTCTATACATATCTATATAGAGAGAGATTCGTTCTATAAGTTCTCTTAATCTAGAGAGTCCTGGCTAGTACACTGGCATTTTGTTAAAGGGCTTCATATACACTGGTCTTATTTAGTTACTTGAAGACATGTATTTCTGTCAATAACCAAGATCAAGGTTCTGCAAAAGTGTATAAATGCATGAGCATACTTATTGCAGACCCCAACCCAATTCCTGGATAAAGCTGACAAAAAATCTAACAGTTTATACTGATTAATGACTACTCATTACACTACCTAATATTTGTGAATGTGCCAAAACTCCTTCCATAGAGAGTGAAAGACATGAAACACAGCTCTTTCCCAGGTCAGCTTTCCTGCTCATGTCCCTCTCTCCCCACCTTGAGTTCAGTGTGGCAGCTGGCCACATACGGGGACATGCCTCTCCTGCCTGGTGGTTGGGTGTGAGATTTTATTATTTGTTTTTTACAATCTCAAGCAATACAGAAAGCCAGGCTATTAGGACAGGTCCTGCTCACTACTTCTAACGTGCTATCTATATTTCAGCTAAGACTAATGACCTAGGGCTGGTCTTGACCTGGCAAGCTCTTGAGAAATATGTGTTGAAAGGAGAGTGGCTCTTGCCTGATAAACCCTTAAGCCAGGTTCCTTGACTTCCTGGTGCGTTGATCAAAACAGAGGTGTTATTTACCTCGTCTAGGCTCTTGCTCCTGGATGTATTGTTGCTCTGGTATTATTGCTGGTTAAATTGGAGTACTTTGAATAGAGCTCTTTTCTACATCCCCTTCCCCAATCAAAAATACTGGTTTTTGCTCAGGTGGGGGAAAACAAAACAAAACAAAACAAAACAACAACAAACAAAAAACTTCTTCCAACACATGCATTTACTAACAGCGTAGTTCTATTTAAAAATTACTTGCAATGTACGGCCAAACGGGCTCAGTACAAGGCACATGAATCAGCTTCAGTGTATTAGACACTGCTTACAGGATTTTCTGTGATCCTGATTGTCAGTGCCCATTCACTATCAAGCCAGGAGTGATAGGTAGAAATCTGGCAGCTATTTAGAAGGGCTGCCTGGCTGAGACGTGCCTGGGTAATTAATGAGAGGCATCCCTTAGAATCTAAAGCTTAGATGGTGAAGGGGAGGAGGTAGGAAAGATGCCTTCTACCAGTCTAAGGCACTTAAGAAAAATGGATGTTTTCATAGTCCTTTTACAGCTTTGAAGACTTTAAATCTAAGGACTCTGTACTGGGCTTTTGGTAAGTGTTGTAGGGGCCAGGTCCTTTAGTCTGGGGAAGCAGGGGGATTCAAGCCCAGAGTTCTCAGCAGAGCTGGCATAAGCTATCCATCGGAGTTCTTTCCTCTTGGGAAAGTGGAAAAAAAAGACCATCTAGGAAAGGGACTTCACCACAGAGGGCACATAGAGAAAAGGGGTTTTAGAGTAGATCCCACTCTCTTGAATTCCTTTTGGGCGAGTGACTAGGGGTGCTGGAGGTTCTATTTGTTTTGTTTTTCTGTTGACTCTGGTGCCATGGAAGAGGTTATGTAATCAAAGAGGCTGTTCACTACCCATTGTTCAATCATTCTGTTACTATTCTCTCCCTTAGCCACAAGCAGGGAAAAATAATTTACCCTTACTTACACAAAGTTACCAAAGTGATGGCATTCTCTTGTTTTAATCAGTGACGCCTCCCCCTCTTGCTGCTGCTGCTGCTTCTTCTTTTTTTGTCACTCTGTAGCTCCACTGTCCTGGATTTCACTATACATGCCAGGCTTGCCTTGAGCTCATAGCAGGTCTCATGCCTCCCTAATTCTAGGATCACAGGCTTGAGTCACCACATCCAGCAACTTCAACTTCATTTTCTTTGGTTAACAGTGTTTGGAAAAACAAAACAAAACAAAACAAAACAAAAAACTGGAGAAAAGCTATACTGAGAGATACCTCTGATCCCAGCACTAGGGAGGTAGAAGAAGGTGGATCAGACCTTCAAGGACAGTCTCTGCTATAAAATGAGTTTGAGGCCAGCCTGGGCTACAGGCAACCTAGCCTCAAAAACTGGAAACACACACACACACAAACACACACACACACACACACACACACACTTCAGAACACGCATACTTGTTTTTGAACTCATTAACTGTAGAGTTAACACTTACAGTGAAATCGGTAGTAGGGAAGGCCAGGAAGTGAGGTTTTAGTTTATTTTAGAAAACAGAAAGGGGCTGGAGGAATGGTTCGGTAGCTAGGGCTACTGATTGCTGGTCTTCCAGAGTACCTCCATTTGATCCCCAGCA